CTTAAATGAGTAACATCTGGTTCCTGTACAACTAAGTGTCATCTAAACCAACTAGGGTTCAGTACATGAAAAAAAAATTAGGCATGCCCATATGGGCATGCCCCTGAGCTAAGGCATGTCCCTCATGCCCATAGGCATGCCCTTTTTAAATCATATGATTAACACATAGTTCACAACTTCTTAAAAATCTTACATGTTGATTTAGTATCTATGGTTCTAGTTTACCTAAACTTATTAGCCAATTAAAATAACTTTAAACATCACATGACAAGAGCATGCTCTTTGGACTTGAAACATGCCCTTAGGGGCATGCCCCATGCCCCTGTGCTCTAAACTCTAAACTCAACATTTAGCATTCCTCTTTTATACATCTGTCAAGTTGTTAAATATTTCAGAATATGCCACTTGACTATAAGGTTCCAAAATACCCTCTTGTTAACTACCTATCTACTCTACAGAACATTAACAAGACTAGCCCTTGTAGAGTTCACCCAACTCCAGCATCTACTTTACAGCATATTCCTAGTACTTATAGTATACCCTTGCTTTGACCCAGACTCCCAATCTAGATAGTCCAGTAGGACTATAACTTGTTCTTGATATATCAAACCAGCCTGATATTCTTTTTCTCTGGTTTGGTTCTGGCAGCCTGGTTGGTAATACTTTTTATCTGAGGTTTTTGTCCATCTGGCTTCTCTACATTGATATCTGTTTCCTAGGTCTAGTTTTTACAGTAGTACCATCAAAGATCTGTGTTTCCTCTCTACTCGAGTCTTTTCAAGTGAGCTCTGATTTCCCAATTCTATAGATTTATACAGCTACAAAGACTTATTTTAGGTTTGCACTATCTGGTACTAGTTTGCATTCTTCTGTATAACCAGGATTATACAAATGCTCTGTGACCTGCCAGTCATATGATGTAATCATAGTTATAGGTATTTTATTCTAACTGATCGACAGAATATCATTGCCATAATACCATCTATGTATTATATAGATAATTATTCAAATTTTCACTATTGGTAAGTTTTGAACTTACAACCTACCACTTGGGAGGTTGACAACTTATCCACTTCACTAAGTTACTATACCTCTAATATCAAAAAATCAGTTTTGATATTTAAAGATTTTTTCTTTTAAAAGAACATGTAAAATACAATCTTATAATAATGTTTGACTATTTATAGCTATCTTAATATAATTATTATTTAATTAAAAAAATAATAGAACATTTACCAAATACAATAACTATTATATAAAATTTTATCTAGAATTAATTATTAATACTTTAAAAGATTATAAAAACAAAATAAGTAATAAAAAAATCATTATTGAAATTGTGAATCTAAATTTAACAGAAAAAAATATCTTATAATAAAGTTATTGATGATGTATAAATTATCAGTAACATTAAAAAAACAGAACAAAAGTAATAATTTCTAATCAAACTACAAAAATGTAATAAAAAAATAATCAAAGATATTTTAGATAAATATGTTAAAAAAAAAATTATTGTTTATACAAATTGTTAAAAAGATTATCTGAATATTAATGAATTAGGATTCAAGCATAAAACTGTTAATCATTCAAAAAATTTTGTAGATCCCAAAATAGGTGCATATAAAAATACTATAAAAAAATTGTGAAATAATATCAAGTTACAAATTACCTTATAAAATTAAAATAAAGATTTAATTAAATTACACTTATTCGAATTTATTTAATATAAAGTAAAAAAAACAGACTCTAGGATGCATTTATCAAAGCATTATATTTTACAACATATTACCAATCTGATGATATCACATCATAACTATTGCATGCATTAATATATACTAAACTATAGTTTAACTTATAATTACTTAGAATTCATTAAATATATATATAATTAGTTTTTTTTTTTATTTTTTCAAAAATATAAATCATACATTATAATTTCTATTGCCTTGAAAAAAAAGTAAAAAGTCAATACTTCTCAGTTTCAACAACTTTAGATCTTTTAGTATAACCAGTAATAACTTCAATATCATCAGTTTTAGACTGTTCTGCACTAGTTAGAGCAAGTTGCTAAAATATAACATAACTTTGTACAATCTTATTATAACAATTCAAGCATAATATATTGCCTAAATGAACATAAGGTGGCAGAATGTCATTAGCTTGACCTTTGGTAGCAAGAAAATCAATTACTTTTCTTCAGTTATTCAACTTTTCATGACATATAGTAATTACACACAGTCCAGTAAGAGTATTAATTAGTGGCATCTTTGTCTTCTAAATGAAACTCTTCAGGTTCTCGATTATTTTCTGATTATTTTGCACAGTGAATATTCACTCTTTAACGAGGCTATTGGTAAAAAAAAATCGTATTTTTTATTAGTGAAACGTTGAATTCTCAAAAAGTATTTTAAAGTGTATAAAATAAGTTACGCGGGTAATTGATTTGCATTAACCAATCAGACGAATGTCCTTCCATGAGACACTCATATTAACGGAAAAAATATGGATCACTATTATTTGTTGTGATCATCCAGCCATGGGTCAATCGTATTACTAGGCATTTAACTTCGGAAAACGTATGAAAGCGATTGAAAAAGATATTCTGATAAAAACATCTATAATGAATTTATCACATGACTAAAACATAAAAATATGATCTGTCTTATAGTATAATATATATTAGTCAAATACTTGACCCTGAGGGGTCAAACACAAATCCCAGTATATTACCTAGTACTTATAAAAGCCCTTACTAACTTGAAGCTTAATTCAAGCCAAAATCGAAATAAATCGAAATTTTGCCTAAATCGACAAAATTTTTTGCTTTAAATCAAAATAATATTTCCGTTTCCCTAAACTATTATTCACGTGACAATTACCACAATTGATATATTTTTTCTTTAAAAAATAGCGATCACATAAATTTTTAATGTAATGATCGCTTTTTAGATGACTTTCGCGTGAACCTTTTTTTTTAAAAAAACCTGGTTTGTACGCGGCAATTTAACAAAAATGACGTATATGTAAAAAAAAAAATCAATTCGTGAAATAACCATTTTAAATATATCATTTGTAACAAAGTACGATTGCTGGTTTGTAATATAGTTATCACATGACTATGACTATCAAAAAGTAAATCCAAACATATACTAGATCCCCCTAAATGCAATTTCATATCGTTTTCTAACTGCACATAAATTTCAAATTTTATTAGGCCTTGCAGAACAATAATGATGCTTGAGAAAATAGAACATCTACTTACTTACAAACATATTGTGGCTAACTTAATTAGCGGTTGTATGCACCGATCTATTATCATCATCATCGAAAACTGTCGTGCCCATGAAGATCTCTTCAACTATATCGGTGTGTGATTTATCTCCAGCCTTTCCAATCTTGGTAATCAAAGAATTGGTTACCGAAGATTGTAAAGTTAGAGTAGTCTTGGTCGATTGCGTATAATTTTCAGATCTCTAAAAAATGTGTAATCTTAAATAAATTCGCCTCAAGATAAATTAAAAAGATCAAATGCAATAAACGTAGCAATACAAACGAGAGAAGTTAACGATCGCGAGCGATTCATATAGAGTGGACCAAAATTTGGGCTTAATCCTAGAGTTAGTCATTTACAAAGAATTCGAGATGTATAGTTAAATTTATAAATTCAAATAAATATTCTTAATGACCAGTTTATAGGTTAAATACTTGATCTTTCATCATCTTGTTCGGCTTGTTCCGATATTATTCCCGCAAGACCTCCAAATATTTGCGTTTTTTTAAGAAGAGGCCTAAATATTAAAAAATAATACATTCTAATATGAGTACAATCAATTTATTTTATAAATATCAATGTAAATATAGATCACCAATCTGCAAACATACACTTTGTATACTACATCTCCAAAAGTTTGTTTCATGTTAATCGTTAACTAGGAAAATATTAAGGTTGTTATATCGAAGAATGATTCAGAGACTTCTATACTTAAAGATAACAAGATAAATAATACTTTGAGGGTCGAATTTATTTTACTATCTTGTAGTAAATACCGTCTGGTCACAGTATTCAATCCGACGTACTCGGAAATATTAAGAGATAACCTTCCAATATTATTTATTTCTTTGCCACCATTCAATTCCTAATGTCAAGCAAACATAAACAATCAGAAACTTTAACATGTTATCCAAAATCAAATTCTCGTACCTGTTTCACTGTAAGACGTAGTTCACAAGGCATCAAAAAGCCGTCTTTCCCAATAATAATCTTTGCAGAATTTCGCAGTTTGTAATCCCATAAAACCGAGTGATCTTTTATTTCCACTCTGAAATAATAATAATAATAATAATAATAATAACTATTAATACTACACTACACTTGCTGGCAAAACCTGGACAAATCCCAAACCTCAAAAAAGCAAATTGCTTTTGAATCAACAAAATAATTTTAATATTTTGTAAATATATTACGTATATATAGGCATAAGAATTAATAAAGTTTTTTGAGATATTAGTTTTTGGCTTGAGTTTGGGATTTGGGCACGGACTAACCCAAACCATAATAGTCTGGGATTTGGGCGGCAAGTATAATTGAGACCGAAGACCGGCCAGTTTATAATCAGCATTTAATGGACAAACCTTCGAGTTACATCTTGTCGTTTATTTCCATTTTTCAACCTCCATTTCACATAGTATAAACCGGATATAGAGGGAATGTTGGTCAATTCGTGAATTAGAATTTCCACATCGAATTCTACTTTGCGGTTTCGAGGTACGAAAAGGAGTGAAAGCGAAGACATTGTCAGACGTAATTGGTTGCAAGTATTGAAAAATGTACGTTAAAATTTTCAAATTTATCTTACTTTTTTCCTGATTGGTATAAATGAATCAATGATGCTTTGTAAACCACTAATTAGCCAGATATGGTATTGTGCACTTAAACTATAAATATTGTTAGTAAAAGTTAAAAACTACTGTGCTTTTAGATTACAGTCTGACTTTGCAAAATGGTAAATCCAGTTTCACGAAGATTACTTAAAGAACTCAAAGACTATCAAAAAGAGCTTAATCCAGATCTTGTTGAATTATCTCCAATACAAGAAGACAATATTTTAATCTGGAAGGCAGTCTTGCGGGGAGAAGCCGATACTCCCTATGAAGGTATGTACTATTGTTTAAATGTTATGGTAGTATACATTCAACACTAATTTTTTTTTTCAGGCGGACAATGGACCTTGCGTATAGAGATACCAAAAAATTATCCTATTCAACCGCCTAAAATGAAATTTTTGACCAAGATCTGTCATCCAAATATATCTTTCAAGGTGAGTTCAATGTAAATCAGCGATTTTTCTTTCTTTTTTTTTTTTTTTTTTTTTATACTAAACATTAAATAGATTCTTTGCAGACAGGTGAAATCTGTTTAGACATTCTGAAAGCCGCATGGAGTCCTGCATGGACTTTGCAATCTGCGTGTATGGCGATTAGATTGTTGCTATCAAATCCAGAACCCACCAGTCCATTAAATTGTGACGCTGGTAAGTTGACATTATACGGAAGGCTTAATATATAAATTTAGTTGGTTATTAATCCTTTATTATATTAGCGAATTTGCTTCGTTGCGGGGACTTTATGGGTTATGAATCCTTGGTCAGGATGTACACGCAACTTTACGCCATGCCTCAAATTGACAATGAAGGGAGCACTTAAATAGCTGAAGAAATGTTGTACATAAAGGTGTGTAAGAAGATACTGTTAAATATTATTAATTTGCAAATCTTTAGCCAATTCCTTTGTTTATTTATATTTTTAAAGCGTTTATAGAACATACAAGCATGAAATATTATAATATACAAAAATAAGAATATGCAATAAATTGTATTTTATCTTTACAAATTTAATTTTTTCTCTAATTTTTCAAATTCACGTTGTGAAATGACATCTTCATCATCTAATACTTGTTCTATACAAGTGACTTCGGGAATGTAATGCATTAACATATTTTCGATCCCATTCCTAAGAGTCACCACCGATGAATCACAAGATCTACAAGCTCCTTTTAACTTTAATTTCACAATTCCATTTTCAAATCCTCGATATTCGATATCTCCACCATCATCTTGTATAGCAGGTCTAATCCTAGTATCTAATAGTTCCTTGATCATTTGAACAACTTCGGGATCATCATCCTTAATTTCTGTATCGGACGGTGGTTGTGCTTCTGTTATTATGGGTTGACCTGATGCGAAAAAGTCCATAATATTTGCATATATGTCAGGTTTCATTAATTGCCATGGTGTATCTTGATCTTTACTTATCGTAATAAAGTCTGGTCCAAAAAAAACACCACGAACACCTTCTACTTGAAATAATTTTTTGGCTAAAGGCGAAGTCGAGGCAGAATTTCCAGAAAGAAATTCTGCTGTACCACCTTCTTTCATTACAGGAACTCCAGGAATAAATTTCAAAGAATCCTGGTTTGGCGTAGCTTCTGCTTGAATAAACATAGTACGAACTAGAGTTGTTAGGCGAAACCTAGAGGTTTCGCCACTTGCGAAAGGCGAAACTGGTATCGACTTTCGACCAAAAAAATTCAAAGAGAAATGGTGAAACTGTCGAAAGGTGGCGAAAGGTGACGAAACTGGTGAAAGGTGACGAAACTGGCGAAAGGTGACGAAACTAGTAAAAGCGGCAAGACTTGTAAAAATAATAAAAAGAAGTTGAAGCTCTTTCATGTAATCATCGATTTTTCTATTCCTACTTGTTCAGCTTTAAATTGTCGTATGTACGTACCTGCGCATATTTCCGCAAGCAGAATTTTCTATAATCGTTAATTGCTTTATTAGTTATTTACAAGTTAAATGCAATACGTACAAATGGTTTTTGTGCTTAACCTATAAATCAGTTTTTTTTTGATACGTATGAGTGAGAGTGAAAACCTGGAACATAAAATTTGGCCCCTAAAATATTATAATCGGATTTTGGTTGTGTACGACAATTAGTGCCTAATTAGGCATGTTTTTTGATTAATATCTAACTCTGTTAACGAACAGAAATATCGTATCAGTATAGCACTTTTATCAGTTTGATTAAAGTGCACATACACAAACTTATCCTTAATTTAACAAACATTTAGTGCTAAATAAACAGTCTAATTTAAGGTTTCGTTATTAATGTAGAAAACTTTTTAACTCATTAAATGTTATATAAACAAAAAAAATAGCCAATTCCGGGTCTTGTATTGCTATTTACAATTCTTTTAAAAAATTAAATGTATAATCATAAAAAGATATATTAAACAAGAAAACATATTTTTATTTGGTAATTAAAATTAAATACACTTTTGGTTGATTTTGTACACTGTTTTATAAACTTTAGCAATGATCTTTTTTTTTAAAAAAAAGATATTAAGGTGAGTACTTGCGACTTAGGATTTTATTGATAGTACATTCAGCTAATAGTTGCATTACAACCACAGGGGGCAGTCATGAAAAGAGTATACAACTAATCACTCATACAACTTTAATTATTGTTTAATTTAAGTAGTCCATCTAAAGGTTTTACACTAGTTATCATATCTGAAACTTGTTTATATGTTTCTCATTTAAACATTTTAGTTTTTGTATTCATCACCTACCTACACTTATCTATAATCCCAGTTGATATTAGTGAAAATATGTCATAGTTATTAAGTTTTTAATGCAGTTCACTTACATGAAGAATTTTTGATCTTGTATTAAACCTTCTAGAATTTTTTGTATCTAATTCTCATAGTTGATCTGATAATATTATAACTAAACCAATACTTATAATCAGGATTTATTATTAAATTATTATGCTTTTATAGAGTTCATTCTAATTCTAGTGTTTACTTTACAATATAACTTTATTATTTTAGTATTCAATTTATATTTCATTAAGTTTTTAATCTAGATAATCTAAAAAGATAAACATATTTATATTTCTAATTTATATGTTTTTTAATATATAATCTTTTTTTTTGAAGAATTTTAGTAACTTGACTAATTATAATAATTTCTTTTTAAAGATTAATATATTACCTAGTTTTACAAGTTTTAGTTTTATTTATAAGTTTAGTTTTTATAGTAGTATTATTAAAAGTTTAAACTATTTCTTTACTCAGATCTTTTAAGCATATTTTTATTTTTTTGATTTTTGTGATTTATATAATTATAAGAACTTATTACAGATTTATATTGTTTAATATCAGTTTGTATTTTTTTTTTGTTTTCATTAAGGCTGTTAGTTATTGATAGCTACTGCCTTTATTATAAATTTAATTATAATTATAAAGTGATCTCTATATTATACTAACAGATAGTGCACAAGTTCTCATATATCAAAGTATCATCTAACCTAATTTTAACTTTTTGTCTATATATCTATTAAGCTGTTATATATTTCAGAGTATGTCATCTGACTATAGGACTCTAGAAAGCCTTTTTGCTAACTAATTACCTAT